GTTAAATGAGATTGAGATGCCAAGGATCCTTTGGTATAATTTATAAGAATCTAAACACGTAAGGAGAATGTTGCTTTATAAACCTTTCCTTCTAGATTTCTAAGTGTGATTCATCCACTCCCAACTCCATCCCCTGAGAGTGTCCAGATGACTCACCAAGGCATTGAGACATATATTTATGAGAGTGATGACACATTTGGAAAGTATTGTAGTAACTGGTTTCTGGAGGCCAGGGATGTTGAGGGGAGATACTACAGATGCGACTAAACAATATGGGAAGTTCACTAAGATCCTAACTGACTTATAGAACCAGAAGTCTTCAGGAGCTGGTGAACAGTGGACCAACTTAAGACAAAATAGAGAGTTAGGGTCTCTTACTCAAGTTCCAGGCCTGGGTTAGTTCACAGAGTTCCTTGAATGAAGGCAGGTTCACTTGAGGAAGGATAAATGTTAACATATTCCTTTCAAGCTTCCCCAACGGGACCTGTAGTCATTTTCCAGGGCAATTATACGGGTTGAATTGTGTTTCCCAAAAAGATATGTTGAAGTCCTTGCCCCAGGTACCTGTGAAATAGAGACCTTATTTGGAAATAGGTTCTTTGCAGATTATACTGGATTAGTATGGGCCCTAACCCAATGACTGGAGTCCTTATAAGAAGAGGGAAATTTGGCCATGGACACACAGAGAAAACACCATGTGAGGATGGAGGCAGAGGTTGGAGTGATGCAACTGCAAGACAAAGAACGTCAAGGATTACTGGTAACCTCAGCGGGTCGAAGAGAGGCATGGAATAGTCTCCCTTAGAGTCTCCAGAAGAAACCAACCCTGCCAACACCTTGACTTTGGACGTGTTTTCTAGACCATGAGAATACATTTCCATTGTTTGAAGTCACCTAGTTTGTGGTACTTCAATACGGCAGCCCTAATAGAATAACTGTGCCCTTGGGGATTGTTGACATTGGCTCTAATGCCCAAGTTGTAGTTGGTTTAGTGGAGGCTTATGGAGTCAAGTGATAGACTTTTTGATTCCAATTGACCTCACAGTACAGTCCTTAAACCCATTTCCCCATGATTTCTCCAGTTTTGGATTATATAATTAGACTAGGAATATTCAGCAAGTGGCAGAATATGACTCTAATCCACAGAATGGGACTATTATGGTTGAAAAGGCTTCCTTACTAACAGAATTACAAACAAAACCAATGTATTGCTGGGGGAAATGCAAGACTAGCATAACCATCAAAGAGTTGAAAATTCAGAGGAGGTGATTCCTGTTACCAACTTAACTCATCTGTCTGGCTCATGCATAAATCAGAAGGGCTGGAGAATGACAGTGGATTATTGAAAGGTTAAGACATGTGATGACTCCAATGATACTGCTGTTCCAGAGAGAGTAAAACAAGTGTCTGCCACCTATAATAAAGTTGTTAACTTGCAAAGGTTTTTTCTTTATTTCAATAAGCAAAGAAAGCCAGAGGTAGTCTTGTTTAACCTGGCAAGGGCAGAAGTACACCTTCATCATTTTGCCTCAGGACCGTGTTAACTCTCTGCCTCTGTGCCACAATTTATTCCACAGGGACTTTAATAATCTTAGCATACCACAAGTCATTAAACAGTCCCACTATAATTATAAAATGCTGATAAAACCTAAAAAGCAGGAAGTATCAGGTACCCTGAATATCTTAGTCAGTTGGCCTGGTCAATGTTTGGGATTTTAGCCATTCTGGTATGTGTGCAGTGGTATCTCATTGTTGTTTTAATTCATAATTCCCTTATTACATATGATGTGGAGCATCTTTTCATATGCTTATTTTCCATCTAAATATCTTCTTTGGTGAGGGATATGTTTAGATCTTTAGCCTATTTTAAAATCAGGTTTTCTTGTTGAGTTTTAAGGGTACTGCATGAAAAATTCTTATTATATAGGATAGTTTCTTTCCATTACAGTAACTTCTCATCCAGCTGGCTTTTCCTGGCAATTAAATATCCTATATAATAAAAGCCTAATATGCTAAGTGTCCGGTCATCCCTTCAACCAATCAAAGCATAATATGCTAATGATATGCTAAGGCCACTCAACTGCTCGCTATGACGTGCACTGACCACCAGGGCACAGATGTTCTGACTGGTAGGTTAGTTTACTGCTGGGGTCTGGCTGATTGGGACTGAGAGAGACAGGCTGGACACACCATGGAGCCCTCCTGGGCTGGCCAACTTCCCGCGTCCCTCCCTGGCCCCAATCGTGCACTGGTGGGGTCCCTCGGCCTAGCATGTGCCCTCTTGCAATCCGGAACCCCTCAGGGGATGTCAGAGAGCTGGTTTCGGCCTGATCCCGCAGGCTAAGCTGAGGGACACCACTGGTGCACGAATTCATGCACTGGGCCTCTAGTCAGGGATAAAAACCAAACCATAAATTATGCCATTGGAAGTTTATTGAGTAATTTGCTCTTCCAGCAAGCACTTGGTAAACATCTATGTCTGAGTATGCCCAGGTAACCACAGTTTTGTAATTTTAACTGTTAAAATATGACTTCTTTGATACAGCTCTATTAGAATGTAGTTAGTTTAACTTGTTTTGTTGTTTTTAGAGCAGCTTTAGGTTCACAGCAAAACTGAGTGGAAAGTATAGAGCTCCCATAATCATCCCATACCCTCCCTAATATCAACATCAGCATCAAAGAGGTACATTTATTTCAATTTGATGAACCAATATTGACATCATTATCAACTGAAGTCCATAATTTACAGTAGGGTTCACTCTGCTCTGTGTTGTACATTCCATGGATTTTGACAAATGTATGACACATACCTACTATTATCTGTTGTACAGAATGGTTTCACTGCCCCCAAAATCCTCTGTGCTCCACCTATACATCTGTACCCCATCAAGCTCCTGGCAACTGCTGTTATTTTACTGTCTTCATATTTTGCCTTTTCCAGAATCATATAGTTGGAATCCTATAGTATGTAGCCTTTTCAGATTGGCTTCTTTGACTTAGTAATAGGAATTTACAGTCTCTCCATGTCTTTTCACGGTTTGATAGCTCATTTCTTTTTAGCACTGCATAATATTCCATTGTCTGGATGCACCACCATTTGCTTATTGAAGAATATCTAGGTTGTTTCCAATTATGAATAAAGCTGCTCTATAAATATTTGTATGCAGGCGTTTGTGTGAATGTGAATTTTCAACATATTTGGGTAAATACCAAAGAGCATGCTTGCAGATCAGATGGTAAATGTTTAGTGCTCTAAGAAACTGACTGTCAAACTGTTTTCCAAAGTGGCTATATTATCTTGCATTCCCACCAGCAATGAATGAAGAGTTCCTGTTGTTCCACGTCCTCGCCAGCATTTGTGTTGTCAGTGTTTTGGGAGTTTGGCCTTTCCAGTAGGTGTGCAGTGGTATCTCACTGTTGTTTTAGTTTGCAATTCCCTAATGACATATGATGTTAAAAGCATCTTTTAATATGCTTATTACCATCTGTATCTCTTCTTTGAAGAGGTATCTGTTCAAATCTTTTGCCCATTTTGTAATCTGGCTGTTCATTTTCTTATCGTTGAGTTTTAAGAGTTCTTTGTATATTTTGGATACCAGTCCTTTATCAGACATGTGTTTTACAAATATTTTTCTTCCAGTCCTGGATTGTCTTCTCATTCTCTTAACATTATCTTCAATACATTAAAAAAGAAACTACTTTCTAAAGGATTTTTTCTTTAAATTGAGATATAAAAATGTGTACAATTCAGTGGTTGCACAAAGCTGTATAACCATTACCTCTGTACTTCCAGAACATTTTCATTATTCCAGAAAGAACCTCCCGACCCATTATCAGTCATTCCCACTTTCTTCTTCCCCCAGTCTGTGGCAACCACTAATCTTCTCTCTTCCTGTATGGATTTGCGGATCTGGACATTTTCATACAAATGAAATCACAATATGTGCTCTTTGGTAATTGGCTTCTTTCGCTCAGCATGTTTTCAGGGTTCATCCATGTTGTTCATGAATCAGTATTCCCTTCTTTTTATGGCTGAATAATATTCCATTGTATGGATATACCATATTTTGTGTATTTATTCCTCAGTCTGATGAACATTTGGGTTGTTTCCACTTTTTTTTTTTTTAACCATTTGTGTAGCAAGTTTTTGTGTGGATGTATGTTTTCATGTCCTCAGGTATATACTTAGGAGTGCAATTATATGTCCGTTGCTGAGACATAAGGAAACTGTTTAATCTTTTGAGGAACTGCTAGACTCTTTTCCAAAGTGTTGCATCATTTTACATTCCCACATTCTCCACATCCTCACTAACACTTATGTCTTTTTTTTTTTTTAATTGATTTTTAGAGAGAGGAAAAGAAACATCAATGTGAGAGAAACATTGATCAGCTGCCTCCTGCATGCCCCCTACTGGGGTTCGAACCTTGAAATCCAGGCATGTGCCCTGACAAGGAATCAAAGCAGCAACCTTTTGGTGCATGGGACAATGTCCAATCAACTGAGCCACATTGGCCAGGGCTTACTGTCTATCTTTTTTATTATAGCCATTCTATTGGGTGTGTAGTGATATTTCATTGTGATTTGATTTGCATTTCCTTGTTGGCTAACTGATGGCTTATTGGCCATTTATATATCTTCTTTGGAGAAATGTTTATTCAGAGATTTTCCCCTTTTTAAAATTAGTTTTTTTTTATTGTCAACTTGTAAGATTCTTTACTCTGGATACTAGACTGGCCAGAGGAAGATGGGGGTTTTGGAGGAAGTGCACTTACTGTTGTTAAGATTTAGGATATGACCACGACATAGGTGACTGAAGTGGACAGGGACAGAGAAATAGTAGAGCAGGGTGTTGGATAAGTCATTTATGGAAAGTTGAAGCCACAGGAATGATGACGTGTTAGGCAAGAGAGAAAGTGATATGAGACTAAAATCTTTCTTGAATGAGTGACAGTCACTGAGAGATAGAGCATCCAAAGAGCTGAAGAATCAAACTACTAACTTTTTTTTTTTTAAGTGGAAAGTAAGAGAATCACAGAGAAGCAGTGGGGGACTCTCTTCCTGGGTCTGACAATAAAAACAGCACCCACCTAAGACTCTTTGATTGCATTATGCACAATGGTTTGGGGTGACATCTGACTTATATAAAACTGAATAGTTCCAGGTATAAACTCCCTTTCTACCTCAAATATGAAAATATTGAATATGGAACCAAGAAAAAAAAAGTTCGACACAGCTGGGCTTGAAACAAAAATATGGGAAATCCCAAGGTGCCAGACATGAATGGGAACCCAAAAGTTAGGGTGTGTGTTGACGGCAGCTAAATTTACTTATCTCTAGTTTGCATACTATCAAGATATTATAGTTACTGACAGTAGTACCTTGTATCTGCTGAGTCTATATCCAGAAAACAACAGCTCCATATGGGTTCACCTAACATTGTACTGTAACATGACTTTAATTTTATTAAATTAAAAATGCTGTTGAGTCTAATTGGGTTTGCATTGAACTATATATTAACTTAAAGATTGACATTGTAATGATATTGTCATCTTTTCCAAGAACCTGGTATGTCTTTTCATTCTTCAGATCTTGTTTTATGCCCTTCAATATGATTTTCTTTGTTAAAGTTATTAAGTATTACATAATTTTGAATAGGTAACACATTAATAGGATTCAAAATTTAATAGTGTAAAAATGAATTCAGTAAATTTTCTCTTCCATTGCTATCCCCTCTCTACCCAACTCTCCTCTCTTCCAGAGGTACTTTATGTATATATGAGCAAATATATATACCTATTTGTTGTAATTATTATGAATGGAATACTTTCCCTTGTACTGTTTCTGGTTGATTATTGCTAAGATAGACAAAAACCTACTGATTTTTATGTAGTTATCTTTTATTTAGATACCTACCAAATTTCCTTAGTAATTCTAATAAGTTTTACTGTAGTCTTTTGGATTTCCTAAATATAATTTATTATTTTCCAATATTTATACAAATTAGATTTTTTTTTACCAATTAGATTTCTTAGCTAATTGCTTTTACCTGCATTTTCAAAGCAATGTTGAATCTTGTCTTATTTCAGACTTTAACAGAATTAGCTTTAGTATTTATAGTTAAGGATAATGTTTGCTATTGTTTTTTAAAAAAATATTTTTATTGATTTCAGAGAGGAAGGGAAAGGGGGATAGAAACATCAATGATGAGCCCTAGTTGGATTGATTCAGTGGATAGAGGGTCAGCCCGAAAACTGAAGGGTCCTGGGTTCAATTCTGGTCAAGGGCATGTACTTTAGTTTGCCTCCTGCGCGTACTTCCGGTCGGGGCTCGCGCAGGAGGTAATCAATCTGATGTATCTCTCTCACATTTATGTTTCTCTCTCTCTGTCTCTCCCGATCCCTTCCACTCTCTCTAAAAATCAATGGAATCCATATGGGTTCACCTAACATTGTACTGTAACATGACTTTAATTTTATTAAATTAAAAATGCTGTTGAGTCTAATTGGGTTTGCATTGAACTATATATTAACTTAAAGATTGACATTGTAATGATATTGTCATCTTTTCCAAGAACCTGGTATGTCTTTTCATTCTTCAGATCTTGTTTTATGCCCTTCAATATGATTTTCTTTGTTAAAGTTATTAAGTATTACATAATTTTGAATAGGTAACACATTAATAGGATTCAAAATTTAATAGTGTAAAAATGAATTCAGTAAATTTTCTCTTCCATTGCTATCCCCTCTCTACCCAACTCTCCTCTCTTCCAGAGGTACTTTATGTATATATGAGCAAATATATATACCTATTTGTTGTAATTATTATGAATGGAATACTTTCCCTTGTACTGTTTCTGGTTGATTATTGCTAAGATAGACAAAAACCTACTGATTTTTATGTAGTTATCTTTTATTTAGATACCTACCAAATTTCCTTAGTAATTCTAATAAGTTTTACTGTAGTCTTTTGGATTTCCTAAATATAATTTATTATTTTCCAATATTTATACAAATTAGATTTTTTTTTACCAATTAGATTTCTTAGCTAATTGCTTTTACCTGCATTTTCAAAGCAATGTTGAATCTTGTCTTATTTCAGACTTTAACAGAATTAGCTTTAGTATTTATAGTTAAGGATAATGTTTGCTATTGTTTTTTAAAAAAATATTTTTATTGATTTCAGAGAGGAAGGGAAAGGGGGATAGAAACATCAATGATGAGCCCTAGTTGGATTGATTCAGTGGATAGAGGGTCAGCCCGAAAACTGAAGGGTCCTGGGTTCAATTCTGGTCAAGGGCATGTACTTTAGTTTGCCTCCTGCGCGTACTTCCGGTCGGGGCTCGCGCAGGAGGTAATCAATCTGATGTATCTCTCTCACATTTATGTTTCTCTCTCTCTGTCTCTCCCGATCCCTTCCACTCTCTCTAAAAATCAATGGAAAAATATCCTCAGGTGAGGATTAAAAAAAAAATTAAAAAAGAAAAATATATGGAGCTTTTTTTCATATTTTCCCATGGTTTGAAGCAGTTTACATATTAATTAAAAACTGCAACTTATCTATTTTTTTGGTGTTCACTTTGTGATAATTAATTGAACTGTATACTTGTGATCTATGCACTTTTCCATATATATCAATAAAAAAGTTTAAAATAAGAAGACAAAAAGGATAAAATTTTAATCACCTTTCCGATTTCTTCTTTGGTAATTAATTTGTCCATTCAAACAATACCTTGGGTCAGTGTTTGCTAGAAAACTATCTGTTTGCCCTGTTTTACAATTTGTTGCCATAGAACACTCCTACAATTATTAAAAATTCTTCCATATATATATGGTTATGTCTGATTTCTCATTCCTAATCCTGTTTTATTCTTTTCCCCTTTATTAGGCTAAGACAGTTTTATCTATTTTACTGGTGTTTTCAAAGAATCATTTTTCTATTTATCTTTTATTATTACTTTTAGTTTCCTACTTCATTAACTTCAGGTTTTATCTTTATTAGTCTATTTCCTATATTAATCTGATGTATCTCATTTCAGGATAGTCAATAAGGTATCTGGGTCTTAATTTGCCCCATTTGTTCCAGGGGTCCATCCTGGCAAGTCCTACTGTCTGGCCACAAGCACATGACAAATAAATGTGTGCTCAGTGAACAAATAACACTGTTCTGTCCTGCGACCTACTGTGAAGACCTGTGCCTGCCACAGGGTCCACCATTCACCCAAATACCTGGAGCATCCATCACATGTTGGCACTGTGCCAGGTGCTTTGAATAGGACAGTGAGCTGAACAACTAGTGTCTGCCCTCTTGGACCTCACATTCTGGTGACAAAGAGACATAAGACAAGTAAGGGAGCTGAATACTGCATAGGATGCCAAGGAAGCATAAGATAGGGTCCAACATCACCAAGGAGGTCTAACTAAGAATCCCTAGAAGTGATACTTAAGTTCCTCAGAAACTGAGGGTCTACTCTGTCCCCGATCCTCTTTTCAGAAAGGTGGCCATTGGGTTTTCTTGTATAAAAGTTACCTGGTTTTGCCCTAGCCAGTTTGGCTTAGTGGATAGAGCATCGGCCTGTGGACTGAAGGGTCCTGGGTTCGATTCTGGTCAAGGGCATGTACCTCACTCGGTTGCAGGCTCTATCCCTAGTAGGGGCCATGCAGGAGGCAGTCAATTGATGATGTTCCTCTATCATCGATGTTTCCATCTCTCTATCCTTCTCCCTTCCTCTCTCTCTAAAAATAAATAAAAACATTTAAAAAGTTACCTGATTTTGAGTTATATGCCTGCTGCTCATGGCCATAGTTCATTGAACCAAGGGACTGACAGCCAGGCAAAATAATTTTATCTAACACAAAACAGAATGAAAAGAGAAGAAACAGAGATAGCAGGAGAGGAAAAGCAGAATAAGAATAGTAAAGTCATAACAATGGCAGTCACAAACTATGTGATATTTGATTGGAACTGTAGGTATCAATATGAATTCATGTTTTTTAAATAATATACAGATACAGAGACACGGCAATAAATTCAGGTGTGTGTGATGCATGTGCTAACATACATACATATATTTCATAGTTCTGTGTGCTGAAAGGGCCTAGAAGCAACGACACTCCAGTAGCAACGAATACACCTAATGCCCAGATCTTGGTTTCTAAGTATCATTCTCGAATAAAAGGAACCAGGTGCTGCTTGGAGAAATGGCTGATGTTAGGGCTGGGACAAGAAAAATATGAGTGAACTTGAAATATCTTGTGGTGCCAGAAAGTAAGGAAGTGCTAAAAAAAAAATGATGGGGGCAATGCTGAAACAACACAGGATCCAACTTTACAGAGTTCAATGGCCAAATCTAGGCCTAAAAGAGCAACAAAAGAAACTTTGTATTAGATTATAAACCACAGAAAAAAACAAGTATCTATTAGTTTATACTGTTATAAAGAAATTATTGAATAAATGGGAGGAAAGAGACAGCTCTTCCTTACAGTAGAATGCCAATTAATAAATATATTAATAAGGAAACAGAAAGTCATCATTAGGCAAATAGAACATTAATACTTGCTGTAAGCAAGAACCATCGATGGCCCGGCTGGCATGGCCAAATGTCGACCTATGAGCCAGGTCACAGTTCGATTCTGGTCAGAGCACATGCTTGGGTTGCGGGCTCAATCCCCAGTGTAGGGTGTGCAGGAGGCAGCCGATCAATGATTCTCTCTCATGATTGACGTTTCTATCTCTCTCTCCCTCTCCCTTCCTCTCTGAAATCAATAAAAATATATTTAAACAATAAGAAACATCAATGGATGCTAAAATCAGCAGGCAAAATTCTAAGGGTAAATAAGGCATTTGCATGACTTCAAAGTATCCCCTCACAAGACCCTTCCTAATTTCAAAAGAGAATTTGTAATTTTGCAGTGGAGAAACTTGACACATACCACCTCAGCCATGTGATCAAAGTTAACTTTATCCCCTGCTGGAAGGCACTGAGAAGGGCACAGCTCTTCCTGGGGTCCTCGTCTTGCCAAAAATGTAGACCCTCAATCTAATCATGTGAAAACAGTAGATTAACCCAAATTGAGGGACATTCCTCAAAATAACTGACCTGGACATTTCAAAAGTGTCAAGGTCATGAAAGTCAAAGAAAGACAGAGGAACTATCATAGGTTGAAAGAGGTGAAGGAAACATGACAACAAAATGCAAGGCAGGACCCTGAACCTGCCTTAGATCCTGAACCAGAAAAAGAACATCAGTAGCAGAACTGGAAAAATTTGAATGTCCACAGATTAGTTAATAGAACTGTACCAATGTTAATTTCCTGATTTTAATAATTATACCATGGTTTTATAAGATCTTAACATTAGGAGAAGCTAGGTGAAGGTTATACATGAATTCTATTATTTTTTTGCAACTTTCTGTAATTCTAAAAATATTTTAAGGAAGAAAAAAAAAAGGACAGCAGTCACTGAGGTAGGGAGCAGCAGACATAGCTCCTTGAGGGGCTAGATAATGATTGTTAGAGCCCACATCCTGGCTTATGACTGTCTTCTACCCACCATGTTGTTATGACATTCTTCCATCACCCAAGGGACTTTGATTCCTGCCCCCATTTTCTGCTTCCTGAAAGAGATGCGCTAACACCAAAGGAGGGTTCCAAAACGGCCCTGCAGGGAGAGGGTGATCATCAACGGGGACTACTGCAGATGATGCCCAAGGACACAGTAAGCCTTGCTGTGCCCAGCTAAGCTGAGGCTGAAACAAAGGGGATGGTGTGCAGACCTTCTGCTTAGTGACTCACATGCAGACTGCACGGGGGAGCTGTTTATTCCAGGCTAACTTAGCTGGGACAGCAGTGTAGACAGGGCTGAGGCAGGCCCCATGATCTCTAGATTTTCCCCTACAGCTCCCTAGGGTCTATGTTGTTAGTCTCCTGAAGGAGGTCTCAGAGAGTTGAGCTTACTTGGATCCTTTGGTATTAGAGTCCCAGAGCAGGCCAGTGTGGTGACCCAGTCAGCCTTCCTCCTAGAAGTGCTCTATATTGGCTAGTTCCAAGGCTGGAGAAACCTGGTCTGGCCTGACCCCAGAACACAGGGTGAGAAGGAACAGTAGCTATGATATGGCAGTGGAAGGGGGAAGGGTTCTATGGGTCCCTTTCCCTTGGAATTTTAGGGCATGGAAAAGAGGTAGTTACAGCCTCAACTGAAGAACCTCTGTGCCTGAGCCTCTGTACTCTTTCTCCACTCTCCGTGGAGACATTCTGAGGGCCAGCAGAGGGTGGCAGGTCATAGTCTGGCCCCCGTCTTCTTCCAGCCAGATCTGTTCTTAGCTGCCATACTTCTGAGCTTCCAGAGAACATGATCAAGTTCCAGAGACTATGGGGCATGGAGATCATGCTGAAGGAGAGATAAGGGACCTCCTCTCCTCTCTGCTTGAAGGAGGTGCAGGGGCAGCTCCTCCTGGAGACTGTTAGCAAGCTTTGGACCCACAACAAAGGGGGCAGGGGAGGGGTCTTGCAGGGGCTGTGAGGAGGTAAGAGGCTGGGGGGAGAGGAGTAAGAGGTATGAGGGGAAGGTAGGTCAGTTGCCATGCCACAGCTGAGGGGCCTTTATTGGACATTGAGGGCACTAGGCAGGTAGGTAGATGCTAGAGGGTGTGGCACACCTTCTCAGGGTGCAGTGGTGCCCGGATGTCCAGTTTGTGGGTCTTGCTGTCCTTATCGATGATCTCCAACCGCAGCGTGGGTGAGCGCTTCTCAGTCTGGGGTGAGGGCAGATCAGGGCTCTTGAGTAGCTGCTTGTCTGAGTCCTCCACAGTGATGCGCAGAGTACAGCCCCCTGGCAGCAGGTCCTGTTCATAGGCGGCTGCCAACTGGTTCACCACACGGCGTTCTACCTGCAGGTCGCAGGTGAAGTGGTCGTCACTGCTGAGGCCTGGGCAGGCCTGTGGCCTGAGTCTGAAGGTCAGGCTCTATCGCTTACTATTGTGCCTTTGCTTGGCATGAAGGCCAGCCTCTATCATTACTGCTAGGACAAGCACTTATGCCGAGCTTCAGTTTTCTCATCTGCAAACGGCTAACAACACAGCTTGCAGGATTGTGCTAAAAACTCAATGTCAGTTTCTAAGGTTCCCAATACAGTTCCCCATCCTTGTAGGGGTTACCCTCCAAAACAGGGTTTGACTTGATCATCCTGTGTGTTTTATTCCATAAGGGCATCTATTCTGGGTAGGAACAATTCCAGGCTGGGAGCCCAGGGACTGGGTCTAGGGGTACCGGGGAGGGAAGTATGGAGGCACCTGTGCTCACCTCATGCTTGATGGAGCGGGCGCCATAGTGCACATTGTAGCCATCAACCAACACGTCTGCCACCTCTCGGTCCCAGAGCAGTGTGATATTGTGCCTTTGCTTGGCCTGAGAAAGGTCAGACAGGAGTATGTCTGCATGTGGCCGAGGGCTTTCCATCTCTCATCACTCATGCCTGAGGCCTGGGCCTGTGAGAGACTATGTGCCCCAGGGCCACTGGCCCCATACCACTGTGCTCCACCTTTTGGGAGGTGGTGCTCCCAGTGGGAAGATATCCCATCCCAACCCATGGGCAGTCCCCACTCTTACTCTCTTGGCCCAGAAGTTCAGTTCCTTGTTGACTAGCTGGATGAGCTCCGAGTGGCAGAAGGGGAGGAAGTAGACGATTTCGTTGATTCGTCCCAAAAACTCATCCCTCCGGAAGTGAGCCTGCAGAGCCAGATAAGGAGTGAGGTCAGTGACTGAGATGGGGGTAAAGGCAATTATTGGACCCCAGTGGAGAAGATATGGGGGCTTCCATAGCTTTAGGCTAAGGGGATCCCCCACCCAAGGCTCCAGTGGGAAGGACAAAAACCTCTTACTTTCAGGATGGGCCGAATCACATTCTCTTTGAAATTCTTTGATATGGTGATCTTGTCACTAATTTGGACATCTCCTGTAGAAACAGAATCATAAACTGACTATTCCCCACACCCAGGGGCTTTGGGAGATGTGCCAGCCCCTTGACCTCGTCCATGAAAAGAGCCCCGGTCCTGTCCCTGATGAGCTGTGTGATCCTGGTCAATGTCTCAGGCTCTCTGGGCCTTGGCCTGGTCTTCTTACTTGAACAGTGAGAGGACTGGTCTGGGTACTTTCTGAGGCCCTTCCAGCTCTTATGTACCACAAAGCCTAGGGTTCTTACAGAGGAAGTTGTGTGAGAAAGGGAGGGAAGAAGAGGAGAGTCAGGATCAAGATTTTAGTTTTGACTTAGAGGAAGGGGGCAGGAGGGTTCAATTCCAAATGGAAAGGTGACAGATACGGCCTTCTGTCTGGTACACTCCTCCTTTCCAGCACTCTCCAGCCTACCTACCCAGGAAGGCTCCTCGGCTGAAAAAGTTTGTGTCCATCTCCATAGTTTCTGATCTGCTGTCCCCTCATTGCACCAAAGCATCTTTGTTAAGTAAGGGACCCTTCAGCTCCCCAAGACCCTGGCCTCTTCCTGGTCCTTCACCTGGGGTGCTCCATCCATTCCTCTGTCTGGGACCCTCCTGTCACCTGAGACCTGGGGCTTTATAGAGGAAGTAAGGGCATTGTCTGTCTCCCTCCATATCTGGTATGGTGCTTAGAATCTGGTCACTGCCAGCTACCAGGACCCTCACCAAGGCCTAGGACCCCAATGCCATCCTTGCCCCCAAGAGATGTGCTGGTGATCTGGGCACTTGCCCAGTTGCCTAGACAGCCCAGGCTATGTGCCATACCAAGGTTCTCGGCGATACGGTTATGGCTCATCTCCAAAGCTTCCTGCCTCAGCTGCAGTGCGTGCTGTGCGATCTCGTCACTGGCCACGTTGGAGGTCATAATGAAGATGGCGTCCTTGCAGTCGATGGTTTTCCCTTTTCCATCTGTCAGCCGGCCCTGGGAATGAGCAGTGACTGTACAGTTAGGGAGCTACAAGACCGAGCACCTCTTCTAGGAGGTCTCTCCAGAACCCATGTCTCCCCTACCCCTGGCAGAGTCAGCTGCTTGCTCCCTGGATTCTCTGAGCACTGTTCTCACCCTCGGTTGCAGTGCTCACTGCCCTGGGCTGCAACTGCTTCACATACTGAGCACCTGCAGCGAGACTGCATTTGCTGTGTCAACAGTCAGGGTATCTAATTATCCCTGGCACCCAGAAGTCAGCTTGATTTCACATGCACCCATCCCATACACTTTTCTGGAAGCCCACTCTAGTCCAGGCTCTGTGTTGGGGCACTGGGGACCCACTGAGCCTTTGACATGCTCCCAGTCTAGAGGAGCGACACTTAGGAAACCAGTAATGACAAGTCAGTGCATTAAGTGTTATTACAGGGGAAGCCCAAGTTGCTGTTCAGAGGAGGGTATTTCACTGGGCCACTGTGAAGATGAGATATGGTCATACTGAAGAATATTCCTTAGTTAACCAAGCTGTGCAAATTTATTTTTCACTTTACCCACATCTGTCTTTATTAAAACTGTGCAAATGTTGTGAAATGTTATTACTGTAGCAAACACATATATATTTGTTGGATCAAAATGAATAGAAACAGAGAGGAATAGAAAATAATGTTCTTCCTTTAACCAACTTGGGAAGTTTCCTTGGAATCTTTCTTTCTAGAAGTGACATAAAAGAGAGCATCTGTACTGGAGACAGATGCACCAAGGAAAGAGAAAAGGAGCAACAGCAGAGGAAGAGACAGAAGAATAAGGAAAGTATAGGTCATTTAGTTCAAGGGCAAGGAGCTCCACCCACTCAGCAAACCTCACATCTATCACCGTAAGCAGCACTTTGCAGTAGAACAAAAGCAACGATCAGGACCTCACTGAGAGGCACTGATGGAGCAACAACAGTGGACACTGATGGGCATTTCCGCCATAGGGACCTGCTTAATGTTTTCTGTGTACCATTGCACTCCACCCACCAGAAGCTCCAAGAAGGTAGAGGCTGGATCTTGTTCTCGCTGGGTCCTAGAACAGTGTTTGGTGCATAGTAAGTGTTCAGTGCCTGTGTGTAAAATGCCTAAATCCTCACAACCCCTACAGAGGAACTGAGGCTCAGAGAGGTTAGGTAACTCATTCAAGGTCTCACATTAGTAAACTCTACAGCTGAGGCTCAAACTATGTGATCACAGAGACACGCCCTTCCTTCTGCACCAGTCTACTGAGGTCATACGAATAGTGCTGGATAAATGAGGCTCCATGAAATTTTCTTTCCCTAAGTAAAATTTTCTCAGAATTCTGTCAAATTTAGTTTGCATCCTTTGATCCTTGCTGGAGAGAAACAACTGAGACAAGTGTGGGAAGAAGGAGACCTGCCTGGGATTTCCTCTGGGTTACAGACAAAACATAGCTCCTACCAGGCCAGATAACATGACTCTGGGGGACAGATAGGTCTGTGGGCTCCTGCCTGTCCCAGCCTCAGCTGGAAACCAATCCTCAAGCGTTTTCCTTTCCCTGTTGCCCTGACTCAAAGTCAGCCCCTGCTTCTAAAACCAAAGCAATGGTGCCCTAGCTGGTTTGGCTTAATGGATAGAGCATCAGCATGTGAACTGAAAGGTCCCAGGTTTGATGCCTGGGTTTCAGGCTCAATCCCCAGTAGGGGGCGTGCAGGAGGCAGCCGATCAATGATTTTCTCTCATCACTGATGTTTCTATATCTCTTTCTCTCTCCTTTCCTCTCTGAAATCACTAAAAAATAGAAAATAATAAAATAAAATAGAAATATTAAAAAACAAAAACAAAGAACCCCAAAGCAATGGTCCTCATAGGCAATATGGGAAGGAATGTGCATTGCCTGAGCACCTATTGCATGCTGGCCATGGTATTGGGTGCTTTTCAGCCTCACTTTACACTAGCCCTTGGAACAGGCCTCTCAGAAAGTGTTATTTCCAAGGGGGTCTATTCAAAAGGGGCCTCGTGATCTAAGTCCCTGCTCCCTCTCCCGTCCCTGCCTTTGGATGGGACAAGGGGAAGGCAAGGGCACAAATGGATATTCTTGAGCTTTTGCCATTAGTTTTCTTGCTTATAGGTTACAATACGAGAGAATCCATTCCTTAGTGGGGACCAGGTCTGCATGAGTGTGTGACATGCCCAGGTGCATGCATATGACACTATATGTTCACAGTCATTCCCGAGGACTGAGTGCACACACTGCTGCACTGGCCAGAGCAATAACCAGCGACGATTTCATTCTGAGAGATCAAAGCTGTGCTCATAACTGGGCCTGAGGATGGGTCCCAGGTGGATCAGGGGAGCAGGTGCAGTGTATGACTGACCCAAGGGTGACTTCATGTCTCTGTCCTCAGAGTCCTTGGCAATAAAGATGTGTCCCAAAGAGGGAGCTGTCACTGTCCCACCTTCCAGCAATGACTGGAACGCTCACACCCTGGGTGGGGTATGAATGCTCACCCCAGGGCTCCATGGGCGGTTTTCTCACTGCTTGTCTCTTTGAAGGGAGGAGCAGAGGGTGGGCTTTTTGCGGGTCAGTCTTTTCCTGGGACTGTGGCTCTGTGCCATAGGGGTCATGTGGGATGTGACCAGCATTAGTCCTGCTTGGTGCTTTGAAGAGAACAATAAATTCTGCTTTTCTAGGCCCAGGCTTGGGAGAACTGGCAGGGTAGGAATGGGGGGTTTCCCTCATGCCCCCAGACTGGATTAGGTGCCCTTACAACTCACAGCACTTGTTTCTTGTAGTGCAGCACTCACTATAGTTCCCTGAACTGCCTTTTGTTGCCTGTCTTCCCCACTCATTCATGAACACCGAGGCAGGGACTGTGTTTGATCTGTGTCCCTTCTGCCCCATAATGAACCACAGTCTCTTGCTTTGCTCTATCAATTCCCCCTTTGACTCTTCCTGGTAGGTGCATGCTCTGTTTTAGCCCTTTCCTCTCCTCTGCACACTATTCTCCCTAGCTGAGAGATCTCATCCCTTCCCTTAGTTTCCATTACCCGCTCTGTGCTGGACCATTCCTGAATCCCTATGTCTAGTACATACCTCTCCTATGCTCCAGACCAGCGGTTACCAACTGGTGGTCCGTGGACCACTGGTGGACTGTGAGGTCCGAAAGGTTGGTGACCGCTGGTTTAAGGAAACCTTTGGAGCAATGGTCGCCAACCGGTGGTCCGTGAGGTCCAAAAGGTTGGCGACCACTGCTCCAAACCTCTCCAACTGATGAATTACCACTTAGACATCTCCATCCAGCTGTTCCTCAGGCATTGCCTTTTAACAGTTCTAAACTCAGCTCCCCACCTTCCTCTCCAATTTACAGCTCATTTTCCTGCATTTCCTGCCTCAGCTGATAGCAGCAGCAGCAGTCCAGTCATCCAGGCCAGAAATCCAGCCACTGATCTCCTTAGCTCCTCCTTCTCTCTTCCCATCCAATCACTGAGCCCTGCACAGTGACCTCCTGGTAATTCTCCCCATCCCAGGGTCCTGCTTTAGACAGGCCTCCCAGCTCTGAACTCTTCAGTAGTCTCCTCGCTGTCCCCTTCTTCCTTCCTTCCTCTCACAGCTACCAATAAGAACTTCATAAAGTGAAAACCTGACCATGTTTCTCTCTTGCTTAAAGTTCTTAAAGGCTCCCTATGATCCACCAAATAAAACTATGTTCCTTTGCCTGGAATTTTAACCGGCCCGTCTATTTAACCCACCTCATCTCCACTATTCTGTTCTCACTTTCCTCTGTAGTCAAGCAGTATGAACTGTCGGTCCCTGGGTATAGCAGGCTGCCTCATGCTCCCTATGCTTCTGCACATCTGATGTCTGCTGCTGGCCCTTCTCACCTACGTTCATCTGGCAAACACTTATTCATCCTTAGAAGGTTTGCTTAATTACGTTAGTCACAAAGCATTTCCCGTGATGTTGTGGGCTCTGGCAATGGTTGGAGTAGGACAAGGTCCCTGTCCTCAAGGGGCACAATGCATATATCTGGCTAAGCAAACTCGGATGGCAGCTTTGGTCAATGGAACCAAGGGCATAAATATCAGAAACTGCAGTGGGCTAGTAGAAGCTGCAGAAAGGAATTATCAATTCCCAAAAGGCCATTGTGGAGTGACAGCAGGGGAGGGGTGGACAGGGCTTCCATGTGGGGCCAATTGTATTTCAGTCTGCAGTTGCCTTCTGTCCTTCTGGGCCAAGGAGGCCATCAGAGGTACCTCTCCAGGGATGTCAGAGGCCAAACCGGCTGCTGGATTCTCCCTTCCTGTGAATGCTTCACTGCTGATCTACCTCTTTCTTTTGGTCCCAGCGGCATGGAAGTTATTATTTAAGCTGCAGGCTCTGGAACTGAACTGCTTGGGTTCGAACCTGGATTCCCTCTTTCCAGCTGTGTGACTATGGGTGACTTACTTATCTCACTTTACTTCAGTTTCCCCATTTGTTACATGGAGGCAGTAATAATATCTATCTTCCTAAGGTTGTTGGGAGGATTAAAGGAATTTATACATGTAAATTTTTAAAACAGTGCCTGGTATACAAAGTACAAAAATATCAACTATTATCACATGTCCTTTCCACCTGTCTACCAGGCAGGGAGCCCCTGGAGGGCAGGTTTGGTGCACAGCTGACTATCTGAATCCCATCGAGTCTGGAACAGAGCAGAAGGTTTTAGGGCACAGGCATAACTGAATTTGTGACATTTGAAGGACTGGTCTTCATTCAACAGCAGAAGTGTGGGGGTAGGGAGTAGCTGAGAAGCTAGGAAGACCTCAACAAAACTCCGGCAGGGGCAAGGATGCTAGGCCAGGTGGGGAAGGTGGTGGGAAGCTGTGGGGACATTTGAATGTGGGTCTTCTTGGCTTGGTACCTGGTCTACTATTTGGTCCAGGGGGAGTTCCTTCATGTACCTCATCTAGTGCACTTGTGACACGGGAAGCAAAACTCTTTCCTGTTTCCCTAGGGCTAAGTAGAAAAGGTGGGTAGGACTCCAAGTGGCAACATGCTGGCTAATAGAGCTTCTGTGAGGGAGAAGAGAAGGCTCATCCTGGTCTGCAGTCCCTGGAAAAGGTGGAGGTCATTCCCTTCAGATAAGCTCTCCCTCAAGGTAAGGAGCGGTACAGAGGGGAGAACTGGGGCTCTGGGGTCAGATATATTTGCAGCCCAATCCTGGCTCCTCCACACAGTAGCTCTGTGGCCTTGGGCAAGTCATTTATAACTGCTGAACCTCGATTTCTTCATCTGTGAAAACTGAGATTGTTTCTACTTTGCATGGCTATTGTGATGATTAGTGATACCATCTGTAAAGTCTTTAGCACAGCCTGGTATATAGAATGTGCTGAATAAAAGGGCTTCTTCTTCTCATTTAGAATTTACTCCACGTGTATGTGTGCATGTGTGTGTGTGTGTGTGTGTGTAGTGGGAGGGGGATGCTGTCTCATTTGTGATGAGCCTGGAGCTCCTCGGAAGAGGTCCATGAGCAAGAAAGGTTCTTGAGCTTACTTTGGATTCAGCCTTCTTGTATGTCACACGAGGTCCCTGATGCCTGAAGATGAAACAGCTGGAACTACAAGTTCAGGTCTTTCTCTCCTGGCACCTCTGTCCCACTCTGTCTCTCTGGAAGGTAGCCTGGGCCTTGGTCCAGAGAGGGAGTGAAACCACATCTGCTAAGTGCCCAAATGTACACATGGGGGAGCAGCAAGATGAGGAATGATCTGACAGGCCTCTGGGCCCTTGGTTCCTACTGCTCACAGACCCTCATACCTAAGGGTGTCCCTGCCTCCATTCCGGCCCATTTCACCTCATCAAACAGCTGCAGCATGATGGTAAGCACATCTGGATGGGCCTTGTCCACCTCGTCAAAGAGCACCACGGCATTGGGGCATTGTTTCAGCTTCTTGGTCAGCTGGCCACCCTCCTCGTGGCCGATGTAGCCTGGTGGAGACCCAATAAACTTGGCCACCTAGGGGAAGGAAGGAAACATGTTACAAAGGCCTTTCCATGCTTTGAGTTCCCAATTTGGGGCAAGCACAAGAAGATGGCTTTACATACAATGTTAAGACGGCCTATCTCAACAAGGAGTGTCAGGCTGAATCCTGGGGTGGCAGGAATCCTGCTATGATGGGAGAGCAAATAGATCTTTTCTATGCTTATTCTTCAGAGTAAATCTTATGCAAACAGGTCAGTGACCCTGCTGTACACATATGTCCCCAAAGGACAAATCCCAAGGCTGCTGGAATTATCTCAGGCCCAAATGACAAGCCACATCAAAATTCTCAGCCCTGCAAACCACACTTCACCGAGGACTCTCACTCACCTCATGCCGCTCCTGGAACTCAGACATGTCCAGCCTGATGAAGCCCTGTGTGGAAACAAGCATGAGTCCAATCGGCAGGAAGGCAAATACCCACAAGCTTTCAGACCACACCAACTCAGGATCTTCCATCCCATTCTTATATGTTCTTTCTGGCTCCTTGCCTCTTTTTCTGTCCACTCAGTCCCTACATGATTCCATTCCTTACCATAACGAACCAAGTCATGTCCCTGTCCTTCTAAATTGGGCCCAGAACATCTCTTTTCTCAGGCAGGCCTCTACTGGTCTGATTACCACATCATCCACCCAACTTCCCGTTCTCCCATCCATTCCACATTTCCTGAAGGCATCCGTGTGTGCTGGGCACTGGAACTACAACAGTAAACAAGACTTGGTCTCTGTCCTTGAGGGGCACCCGTTGAGTAGGGTGGGCAGACATGGACAAAGTCAGTCACAATCAGCGTGGATCATGATGACATGGAGGGGAGCAACACATACCCAGATGGCTGCATGGTGCCCTCACATTTGCAAGTCATTGTAGGCACATGCCCTTTTAGTTTACTTTTCTTTTAAACAAATAAACCTTTTTATTTATTTACATTTCTTTATTTCATCTAAAGTCACCCATAATGTAGCTTGCAGCCTTTCTCTCACCACTGCTGGGCCTAGGGGTGATTTCCAAGGAAGTGGTCCCCTGGGGTGAGGCCTGACCATGATTAGCCCTGGAAGAGAACACTGGGTAGTGTGGCATTTGTGAGCCAACACAGGCAGAGAACACACCCCTTTTCATGAAGAATTTAGGGAGTTATATAGGCATTCATGGGTGCCGTCTCTCCACCCATACAGGGTACCTCACTCTCTCCCCAGGCTCCTCTCTTGCTGGCACGTGCTCCTGTCTGAGAGAGCACACTCACTAACCTCATGTCTCTTGAGAGCTGGGGATGATGGGTGCCAAGGCCCTGGGAGGGTGGTAGCTATATTTGAAATGCAGGCCTATTCTAGCTCGGTCTTTGGTCTCAAATTCACTCAGTGATGTACTTCTAGTTTTTTCTCTGTCCTGTCACTCTGTACCCAAGGTACGGGGTGGCAGAAAGAGCCCCAGGCTGGCAGCCAGGGGCCTGCTTCTAGTCTCAGTTCTGCCACTATCTGTATGGCCTTAGGTACGCTGCCTCCCCTTTCTGAGCTATAGTTTTTCCTGTGTAACACGGGCCCTGTTTCCTCTCCTAGTCTCGCCAGGGGCCTGAGGAGAGGACCTAACCCAGAGGTGGGAAAGGCCTGGGAGAGTTATTAAGGTCATGTGGGGGTGATCCCTGCTATCTAAGCACATGGGACTTAGCTAGCAAGCATTTTCAGAGGGCCCAGACAGCTCAGCCAAGAGAAACAGGCTTCAGGAAGGGTGGGAAGATGGACATGGGGAAGCTGGGAGTGCTGCCCAGAGGGAGCAATGGGCTGGAAGCCATGAGATGGGTATCTGATAATAGCTCACAGTCACTTACTATGGGTGCTTACTATGTGCCTGGCAAGTTATAAAGGGCTCATAACATTTTCAAGTCTGTGAGGTAAGCACTATTATCATCCCCATCTTACAGATGATAAAACTGAGTCACAGATTAAAGTAACTTGCCCAAGGTTACTCAAGCTTGACAATTTGGCTCCAAGATTACACCCTTAGCCATTTATTCTACTGCCTCATATTTCTGGCTCTGTCAATCAGTTGGGCTGTTGGCAGTCTTCATCTGAAGGGTTCTGAGTTTTGTGCCCAGATATCAATGTCCCAGGATATTGGGAGTATAGACTAGGGCTTACTTATGTCAAGTGATCTGGATTCTACTAAATTGTTAAGTAAATTTGAACAAGCCTCAGGGCTTGATTTTCTTGACTGAAATAATTTTGGTTTCATATGAGCTTAGCTTAGGGTTATCTAGAAGTGAGGCAAGGATAATGACAGTAATATCCAACATGTATTGATTGCTTACCAGGTGCTAAGAATGTTGTTTATCATTTTATTTCATCTCATTAACATTCAAAATAATCCAATGAGATAGGCACCATTTTAAAACCCATTTTGCAGATGAGAAAACTGATGTAAACTGAGATCCTGGCCAACTCCACAGAGTAGTTTAGAATTGGGATTTGAACACAGGCAGCTGGACTCAGATTCATGCTCTGACCCCTTTGTCATTCTGCCCTATAACTGCAAGTCTTTATGGCTCCACCACTCTATTTCAGGATGAGATCACAGAAAAGCATTAAGGTTTTTTTTCTCAAGGATTATTAACCCTAATAATGGGAGTTAATAAAGCTGCTCAATTTGGGAGGCATAGTAGAGGCTAATGAAAAAATAAGCTCATGGATCTGATAAAAAATTATAAAAATGTGCAAACAATGTCTTGTGAGGCAGCCAGGTCTAGAGCTATGAGTGACTTTTTATAAATGAGGCAACTAAGGATCTGAAAGCCAGAACTTGAATTCAAGTCACCAACTCCCAAGCCAGTGCTCATTTCATTTTGTTAGGCCACTTTAACACTGGACCCTATAGTGACACTTCCTACACACCACTAGTTGGATTCTGGAGGTATTAGATAGCTTACGGTCCAGGGCTCTTGGATTTTGAAGGTCTCAAACATGCCTATTACATGGCCATAGAATGTCTATGCTAAATGCAGAATCTGTAATCAGGGGTTCTGCAGAAGCACTACCTATGATTTAAAAATAAAACACATGAATATGATAGGATTCTCATGCCTCTCATCTCCCTATGCATCATAGGGACAAACTGAAAAGTTTACACTTTAGCCTCCTATTGCATGTGAGAACAATGATATTGAGAGAAGAGTTGAGAGATTGGCCCTGGCCAGTGTTGCAGTGGTTAAAGCATTAGCCTGTGTACCAATGCGTAGCAGGTTTGATTCCCAGTCAAGGGCACATACCTGGGTTACAGGTTCAATCCCTGACCCCAATCGGGGCACGTGCAGGAGGCGGCCAATAGATCTGTCTTTCTCACATTGATGTCCACCCCTCCTCCCACTCTCTCTAAAAACATCATAGGGGCCAGGCTGGTGTGGCTCAGTAGTTGGGCGTTGACCTATGAACCAGGAGGTCACGGTTCAATTCTCAGTCAGGCCACACGCCGGGTTTCCAGCTTGATCCCTGGTGGGGGTGTGCAGGAGGCAACCAATCAATGATTCTCTCTCATCATTGATGTTTCTCTCTCTCCCTCTCTTTCCTCTCTGAAATTAAAATATATATATATTTTAAAAAATCATAGGGAAAAATACCCTCAGGTGAGGATTAACAAACAAACAAACAGTTGAGAGACTGGATTCTGATTTTACTTCTTCCTTTAACAACTGACCTTGGACAGACCCCTTAATGCCATAGGTCAGTTTTTGCATCTGAAAGGTGGGTCTGATTTAGCATCTATGCTGTTTTCCTCATAAGATCAAATAAGACAGTCAATAGGGGACTGATGTGGAAAATATGAGGTGATGAATAAATACAAGACAAGGGAACAGGCACTTACTATGTGCTAGAGCCTGAGCTCATTTGATGCTCTGACAACCTCAGACAAAGTACTAGACAGCCTCACTCTGAGACAAGAGAGCTGAATTGTACAGGGATAAAGTAACCTGACAAAATAGAATTGGAACCTGTGCCAAGAAATGACTGGCTCCAGAACCTGGACCACCCAGCCCACTGCCTCCAAGGGGTGATGGTGTTATTTCAGTCTCCTGGGTGAGGCATGCGTTGAACATGCCATCAGAACACCCTGCACTGGTGTAAATATGCCTCCAACTGAAGTGATGCTCCAAGTGAAAAATGACTTGCATCATCAGTCTTTCCACAAGCCCCCTCGCCTTTCTACACCAGCAAGTCAGCAGATACTTTCCTTCTACTTCCACTGTGTATGAAGACACATTAAGACAGCTCGGATAAGGAGATTATAATTTGTAATTAAATATTAACCTTTCTGACAGTATTAAAATTAAAACACTCAGAATTCTTCATCCCTAATCAGGTGGTTCCTGCCTGTAACTGCATCTTCCCTAATAGTCCTGCTAGTTTATGGCCCTTTCCAGAGTGCTAATTGTTTCAATCGCTGCCAACCTGATGAATTGTCTTAAAAATGCTATTTCAGTTGGAGCACACTAGCATGTCATGTGCTGCGTCTTGCCTGCATGCCTGTCAAGTGGGTCCGCTCTGGGTTTGGCTGAGGCAAAGCATAGCTACTAGCAGAGCCAGGGAGGCTTAGACGGCTTCAGCCAGTTATTAGGCAGAAGGAGGCCATGGATGCAGCTCAGGACACAGCCTGAGTTACCTTGTTTCTGTGGCTGCCAGGCCCTCAGGAAGGTGGCAAAGGGGCAACTAGGTCAGAAGCAGGACAGGGCTCTGCTGCTGGGGTAGTTTGGCTGGCAAGGTCTGAGCAATTCTTATCACTTCAGCTGGGGAGGCGTTCCACAGAAATGAGGCAAGGGCACCTAGGGTCGTGGGCACCCACCAGTGGTGGGCAGGGGGACCTTAGCCTCCACACTGGGAAGGCTGGTAGGAGAAAGAAGGTTTGGCCTTCATTGAAATGTTCCTGCAGTCTCCAAGAATCGCTCTCTCTGGCATTTCTCTCTGCATGAACGTACTGCCTGTCAGCACAGAAAGTCAAACTGAGCAGGCCTCGGAAAGCCAGAGTCTGAATGAATAAGGGATGGGGTGGTCCTCTCCTATGGAGAATCCAGGGCTGGGGAATGGGGACTGTGACAACCCCACAGCTTAGACATAAGAAATCTGATTTGCCGTGGCCAGTATGGCTCAGTTGGATGGACGTCATCCCATGCACGGAAAAACTGCTGGTTCCATTTCTGGTCAAGGCACATGCTGAGGTTGCAGGCTTAATCTCTAGTAGGGGGAGTGCAGGAGGCAGCCAATCGATGTTCTGCTTTCACATTGATGTTTCTCTCTCTCTCTCCCTTATTCTCTGTAAAAATCAATAAAAAATCTTTAAAAAAAAATTCTTAAAAAAGAAATCCTATCTAAAAGCTCATGTGGGATGGAGAGAAGCAATAAGACACCCCCTTGTTCCTACTTGTTTTCTCCTACAGGCCCCAGGACTCCCTCTGGCATGGCCTTGATGCACAGTAATGGTATGTTTCTACAGCTGTTTCCTTCTCCAGACCGAGTTCCTCAGGGCAGGGAAAATGTCAAAATTAACACTTTTTTTAAGGAACTAGTATAATACCTGGCACAGAGTAGATGCTTGAAAATATTGTATGAATGAATCTCACTGGGTTCTCCCATGTGTCCCAAGAGTCAGGGCAGGGCAAGGAGTAGTCTTTTTATTTCATAGATGAAGAAACTGAGGTACAAAGAAGTTGGATCACTTGCCCAAATTCCTGGAGCAATTGGTGGCTGAGTTGGGGCCAGAGGTGAGGCCTGCTTCACTTTCCAGAGCCCTCTTTTTTTTTTAGAAAATCCTCACCTGAGAATATGCTTATTAATTATAGAGAGAGGGGGAGGGAGAGGGAGAGGGAGAGGGAGAGGGAGGAGGGAGGGAAGGGAGAGGGAGGGGGGGGAAGGGAGGGAGGGAGAGAGAGAGAGAGAGAGAGAGAGAGAGAGAGAGAGAGAGAGAAAGAGCGAGAGAGAAGCGTATATGGGAAGACACTCCAACCAACTGAGCCACACTGGCCAGGACCAGAGCCTATCTTTGATTGGCTATTGTCAGATTCAGGGAGTCTAGGTTTTTTGGGCTAGCAGGAGTGGCAAGGACTCAAAGGCCTGAAGATCAGGCCTAGGTCCCAGTCCTTACCTTTTTGGCATCTTTGTGCATGTATTTGGCTGTCTGCTTGGCCAGCTCTGTTTTTCCTAGTAAGAAAGAAGGGAGAGGAATTGGGTTAGGACCAGATAACTATCTCCTGGAATGAAATGTTAGAAAAGTATGGACACTGAAAATAATATGTTTTATGGATGGAAATGTTGACCCTTGGAGAGGGTCAGTGACTCTTACAAAGTCACCAAGGGAATTAAAGGTGAATGAAGCTGGGACCAGAATCAAAGTCTGAATTGCACCTTGATTTTTCAGTGGATGAGGATTGAGGCTTTTTCTCTAGAGCAACATCCTAAGAGTGGGAGGTTGACTCTTATAATTCAGAGCCAACTCGTCCTTTGAAGCTCAGCACAAACCTTGCTCCTCCAGGAGCACCCTGCCTCCTGGCTCACTGCACTGCATGCTCTCTAGACACCCATGATCTTGCCATCCAGCAGGCCTGGAGCCACAGACCAACTAGAGGTAGGGGGGCACCTCTCCTTGGCTTCACAGACTTTGTAATATAAAGAAAGAATGACACTACCCAAGTGGTGGCTCTGAAGGGCCATTTTGTAGGATGGTCAAGCCCTTGGAAGTCACTGTCTAGATAGAAAGTCAAGTTCTATAGCAGTGGTTCTCAACCTTCTGGCCCTTTAAATACAGTTCCTCATGTTGTGACCCAACCATAAAATTATTTTCGTTGCTACTTCATAACTGTAATGTTGCTACTGTTATGAATCGTAATGTAAATATCTGATATGCATTATGGTCTTAGGCGACCCCTGTGAAAGGGTCATTCGACTGCCAAAGGGGTCGCAACCCACAGGTTGAGAACCGCTGTTCTATAGTATCATGGTGAGGTGGTGGTCACCTTTTTGGACCCTATATCTGAGGGAGAGGTAAGCCCACAAAAATGCTGAGGGAAAGAGGCGGCAGTGGCAACAAAATGCATGAAATTTCCCAAGTCAATGCAGAAGGTAGTGGAGCTAGGGAGTAAGGGGTGAGAATGCCTTAGCCTAACTGGCTAGAAAAATACCCAATCCGTTTTACTGTAGCCAATTTTGCTAGGCACCTAGCACTGTATTGGTCCTCAGGGACTTTCTTTAGCTTCCTAGCAGGTTATGTCTCAGGTTATATTGAATAAGATTGATGTGCTGGGCAGTGGAGCTGGTTTAATTGTACCCAAAGGCCAGCCTCAGGGGATGCAGAGTGGTTGGAGCAGGGCTATCAGGCCCCACAGAGCCTGGCCCTCCAGGTGAATTAGGCCCCGCACCCTAGCTTCCAGAGGGAGGGGCATCCTTCCAGCTATTCCTGCTGTGACAGATGACCCTCCTGTGGGCTCTGTAATTTGGAGGCAGTTGTATGGGGAGCTGGAGTTGAACTAGAGGTGGGTGGCCTGACCCTGGCCCACAGCAGCTGAGGCTCCCTCAGTTTCTCTTCCCCCCTGGCTGATCTGCTCCCATTACCTATTCCAGATGATCCCAAGAAGAGGAAGACCAGAGGGTGTTCTTCGTCATACCAGCCATTCTCCTTCCTCCGGATCGCTAGGGCCAACACACAAGACAGGGGACGGGGAGGGAGGCAGATAAATCAATGACACAAAAGGCAGGATAATTATCACTAAGTATACAATATGTTTTACTGCTCTGCGCCCACTCAAAGTCCTCACTACCATTAGTGCTGCCTAATCTGATTAGCTGGCAAGGCCCCTAGAGATACCTAATCAGGTTAGCATGGATTTGGAAAGCTGCCCAGAGCAGATTTCGGATAAAGTTTTCCAGGATGAGCACTCAGCGTTGCCAGGGAAACTGAAAGGCGGGTGAATGGAGGTGAAGGGGGCTGGGGGTTGGTGAAGGAGAATTTGAGAGGAACTTTAGCTTTCAGCTGGTTACCCATCTACTTAACCACTGGTGGGAGACTCAGCCTGCCTCCAATGCAAATGGGAGAGACAGAAGCCCACAGCAGGCCCCTGGGGATATGGGGTGTGAGCTCTGGATTCTTTCCCATTTGGGAAAACCAAGGTCTGGTCTGCTGTCTGGAAATACAGTCAAACACACTTTCTGGAAGCCAGTTAAGTAGTGGAGCTCAGGGCATGAAAGGGTGAGCCATCTGGTTAACATCTCCACTAACCATGGCCTCCAGGGTTTGGGGTGGGACAGAGATGGGGGGAATGGAATAGATCTGTACCAGGTTCCCTAGGGGCGCAGCTCTGCTAGAACCAGACCTGACCTCTCCTCTCCAGGAGGAAGTATTTAAGGGTAAGGAAATTACATGCCCAAGTACAGAGAGGGAGAATCAGACTCAGAAGTATCCTCAAGTATAAAAGCAGGAGGCAGAACTATCAGAAGATGAACCATTATTGAACAGACTATCTACTAGGCACAGTTGGAAAAATCACCAACATTTTATTACTCAAAACCTACATAAAGAATTTCCAAGAGGAAATTCTCAGCTCCATTATTCTCAACAGGAAACTGAGGTAAGAGAGAAAGAGATCTGCCTATGTTACACAATTAGATTACTAGTTGACTAGCAGAGATGGAAGACTTGCTTCTCTCTCTAAACTGGTCCTGTTGCGTCACATAGAGCTGCTTAAAGAAGCAAGCATCACTTTGGGTTACATTAATGGTTACATGGCAGTCAGAGCAGGAGGGGACAGAGTGCTATGCAATGTCAAGGTCAGTTTGCAGATGGAACAGCATGTATGGTCTGGTCCCCAGAGAGTCAGGGGGAGATTAGCAAAGGGATATATGTCAGAGGACAAGGCCCAGAAACTAAGTCAACTGAAAAAAGAGTTGATGGCTTTAGGGATGTGTCTGCCAGTCTTGAGGTGTAAAGATCCTAAATACTATACTGTGTGGTATGTATGATCCATATGGCTGGGTTTCAAAGAAGAGACTGCAGAAGCCAAGGAAGGCTTTTGGAAGAAGTGGGACTGATGATGTACCATGGAGGCTGGGTACGATCTGGAGAGCAAAGGTGGCCAGCATGACAGAAGTGGAGACAGGAACACACATGAGCAGCAGTGGGTGGGGTCAGATTACAAAGGTCCCAAATACTAGGAGCTCAGGTCCATGCTGTGGTCTTTCTTTTTTCTTTTTTTCCTGTGGTCTTTCCCATGTCAATCTCTAATGCTGCTACTTCAAATACTTTCTAGTTCTGGCCTCAGCAGAAACAGGTGGAAACTGTGTGACTCATGGAAATCAGACTAGCCACTTTGCCTGCCTGGGAGATGCTCCCTGAAAAATTCTGAGGGGCCCGAGAAAACGCCATCCGACCTCACCCCTGGGCTGGGTCCAAGGCATCACTAAACTAACTGGCCCTGTGTTCTGTAAGGCCTGGCTCTCCAGGGACCCCAGAGCCTCACAGGTACCTGAAGGCTGAGGATGAAGGGGAGGAGTCCAAGCTTGGCTGAGAGGGAGTCCCCAAGTGTCCTGAATAAAACAAGAACCCAGGGGTGGGGCTATTTGGAGAGGTAGAGATATTATAAAATGGCAAGGCTAGACTTTTGCAAACACTAGGTGTGGATGTCTGTTGGGGTGGTGGTGAAAGGGATCATCTGAAAGGAGTCAAATTCTTCTAAAAAATGGCTGAACTGAGAATCTAGGTTGAAAAGAAGCTGAGCATAAACTGGATTCAGGCTTCATGAGGTATCTGGAGAGGAAGAAGTGTCCAGGTATGACTTAGGTGGCCTGGGGCTCCCCAGGTGTCATGCACCTGAGGTTCTGCTCTGGACTTCTTTCAGGGAAGCTGTCCAGTCCACCGAGAACTGCACACTACAGGGCGATGCAGTTCTAACACACTGAGGAGAATGTGCAATTGGATTGTGCCTGCGGCCTTCTTTCCTCCTTCTTTTCTAATAATGCACCTGGGAGAAAGCTCTTTATAATGCCAGGCAGACCCCTGCACAGCTGTCACTGGTCAATTCTGCCAGACCCAGGGCATGAGTCTGGGGTGGGCTTGATCTGGGCCTCCTGTGAAACAGGAGAAATGCCAACCATTAAACAATTACAACTCTGGATATTTCTAATAATATCTGAAGAGAAAAACGGCCAAGCAGATGGTGTCCGACAGAATGAAAAATGGAAGCAGCTAGGAAGGACTGAGGAAGGTGGGCACCAGGAGGTGTGGTAGGCAGGGTGGCTGAGGACCAAGGCTGGGAGCCTGGAGGGTCCTGTCAGGGCAGGACAGAGGCTGGGACAGACATAGACCTGAACAGGCCCATGTAGGATGCGGCCATAGGTACTGGCACTCTCACTGTGAACCAGCGAAGGCAGCATCTCACTCTGCCAACACTTCATGATCTTTAAAGAACTTCTGTAGACATAACTTCATTTGAGCCTCCTTATGAACCTATGAGGCAGGCAAGGCAGGGAACTCTATAGATGAGGAAATATGTACAAAGAAGTTACACAGGTAAATAAATGAAGACCCTGGGCTTTACCCCCAGCTCTGGCTATCTTTTGAGGAGTTGAGGGAAAGCAGTTGGCTTGCCTCAGCCGCATCATCTCCTCATACCCTTGCCTCACCTGGAAAACTGTCTGGCTTGAGCAGCCATTCAACACAGGGTTTCATGAACCTCTGTCCCCTGACCTCTGCTCTTGGGCATGAGTGATGCCAGGGTCCCCTTTATTGGCTGGTCTCATCCCTGCAAGCAGGACCAGTGCCAGTGCCTCCTTGCTGGGTTCTTCCTACCAGATCATCTGCTCCTGGCCATGTCCACCACTACTGGACCCTCTTAAAACTTACCTGCAACAACTCTTTTTGATGAACTCCACCCACCCACATTGGCCACCTTACTCCTAGGGTCTGTATTCTCTGATCTGTGGTCATCTATGGCAGCGGTTCTCAACCTGTGGGTCGCGACCCCTTTGGCGGTCGAATGACCCTTTCACAGGGGTCGCCTAAGACCATCCTGCATATCAGATATTTACATTACGATTCATAACAGTAGCAACATTACAGTTATGAAGTAGCAACGAAAATAATTTTATGGTTCACAACATGAGGAACTGTATTTAAAGGGCCAGAAGGTTGAGAACCACTGATCTATGGGGTGGCAGGTGGAGAAGGTAGGAGTTACAGGAACTAGTTTGGAGCCTTGACTCTGCCACTTAACTAGTTGATTGACTTTGAATAAAACAGTCCCTGAAAGCCTCATTTTTTAAAATCTATAAAATGGGAATATAATACATACAGAGTCAACCCCAAACGAAAATTAAACAAGTTAATGATTATGAAAGCATTCTGTAAATTGCAAGAAGTGGAATAAGAGTAAAAATAATGGTAGTCATAGCGCAGCAGCGGAAGTAGCCACTACAGCTTTAGTATTTTATAGATATCTCTTTCCTCCTTAGAATAAGGAGAAGCAGGTATTTCTCCATTTTGCAGAAGAGGAGAATGGGCTCAGAGAGGGGCAGTGTAAGGGGTTTCATCACCTGTGCCTTCGTATCCAGGGGCAGGGTGTGCTCCAATCTCACTGTGCATTCCATGGGAGCAGTACCAGCAGTCATATTTCCAAAGGGATGTTTGGGAATAGCCTAACAGTGGCATAATGCTTGAGGACTAAACAAATTAATCCTTGCTCTTTCTGGAACCACAAGAGGGAAAAAAAGGTACTTTATGCCCACTTTACAGAGAAGAGTGAGCTTGGATCTAAGAGTCTCCTATGGCTTCAAGTAGTTATTACTATCCCTGGGTGAAAAGGCTCCTGCTCTCTTCTTCTTCTTCTTCTTTTTTTAAAAAAATATATTTTATTGATTTTTTACAGAGAAGAAGGGAGAGAAATAGAGAGTTAGAAACATCGATCAGCTGCCCCCTGCATACCCCCTACTGGGGATGTGCCCACAACCAAGGTACATGCCCTTGACCGGAATCGAACCTGGGACCTTTCAGTCCGCAAGTCGACGCTCTATCCACTGAGCCAAACCGGTGAGGGCTCCTGCTCTCTTCTTAATCCCTCTCTGGGAGCTTATCCATTTGTTCAGAAAATAAACTCTGCGATGGGTGCTGGGGCACCTACAAAGAAACCTAAAATAAGGTCTGTGTCATTTTTGTTTTGTAAATTCTCAACTGAGGATACACCCCCCCACCCCGCCCCATTGATTTTTAGAGAGAGAGAAAGGAAGGGGGAGAGAGAGACACACATGGATGTGAGAGACACACATCGATTGGTTGCCTCCTGTATGTGCCCGGAACAGGGCTAAGGATCGAACTTACAACCCAGGTACATGCCTTTGACTGGGAATCAAACCCATGACCCTTCAGTGAGCAGCTGACACTCTAACCACTGAGTGTGGAGGTGGAACTATAAGCAGTTTCAAAAGTAGTCACTACCACCCCACAACTCAGAAATGACCTAGATAGTTCTCAATTCAGAAATAGGACTCCAAGGGGGGCCCAGGAAGGTACAGGGCTTGGACAGATTACATTTTGGATTAGTCAAAGAGGGAAGTGAAGCATGAGATAGGAGGGTGCACCCACTGTGTGCCAAGTGGCTGATGCTGAGATTCTGAGTTCGGGCCCAGCCTCAGCACAGAAGAGCAGTTGGGATAGTAGTGCTTCCCTGAGGGAGTTCAAGGGCTTCAGAGTCAACTGCGACCAAGTGCAATAGGTACTGGGGACAGGCACCTGGAAAGAGGGAGCTACAGGGAAGCTTCCAAGTGTGCTGGCTCATCTGCTGCCCAGAGAAGGCTGTTCAGAGCAAGTTTGGGGAATAGCATGTCCACCGGAGGGGTTGAAGGTCAAGTAGAATGGGTGTTGTAATGAACTATTTCACCATAGTCACATTCCCAGTATGCTTGTGAACTACTAGAGAGCAGGTGTACAGCTTCTCCTTTCTCAAAGCACGTCACAGAGATGGACAAAGGGCCATATCAAATTAATTAATTCAACAAACTGCACTAAGCATCTACTTTGAACAGGGTGCTGTGCCAGAAATTGTGAAAACAAAAACAATTCAGCCATGGTCTCTGCCTTCAGAAGTCTACAGTCTATTATTGCTCCTGAACTGAGTCAAGCTAAGTAAAAGCCAGCCAGAGTGTGGGAGACAGGCAGGGCTGGGGTGGGGAAAGAACCAAAAGAAAAGGAATTCCACACAGATGGCAGCATCAACAAATGAAGGCAGATCAACAAAGCATGTGCAGGAAAGCAAAAGCGGCTAGGGTGGCTGGTGGCATCATTGGTGGACGCAGGGCAAAGTGGGGCAACAGCAGGGGTGGGCCTTGTGTGCTGGGCTAGGGCAACAAGGGCCACTCAAGGGTTTTAAACAGGGGGGTTTGTTACAAAGCTCACTCCAGCTGGGAAGAAGCAATTATACCGGAAGAAAAGGAAGCAGAGAGGCCAGTGAGGCAGCTACTGTGTGGTTCAAATGCTGAGCTGGAGCAGTGGTATTAAGAACAAAGGAGAGAGGCCAGATTTGAGATGCATGTAAGAGGCAGAATGATAGAACTTGATATTTGATGAGGGAGGGAGGGGCCAACAAAACATCTAAGTTTTTATTTAAGCGGTGCTTTTACTGAGACAGGAACACAGGAGGTGGGCAGGTTGGAGGAGGGGAGCAGAGTCTAGCGCTGAATGTGCTGAACAGACAGCTAGTTGCCTTTCTGAAGAGGATGGTGGGAAACAGAGGCTCTGGAACTCCCAGGAGGTCTGCCCAACAGGGCATCCCCACCTACCCCATGACCAGGAACAGCTCTGGATTCTGGAAGGAAAGCCTTGCTTTCAATGCCAAGCCTCTGGCTTATGGTATGTAGGTTGGCCCTGCTTTGGCTCCAGTGACCCAAGAAGACCAGAGAGGCCACAGGGGCCTGGGCTGTGGGGCTGGTGCGTTATCCCCACCATTTGTAAGGTGGTAACTGTGCGCCAGCCTTGCTAGAAAAGCCCTGCAGCTGGGGATCACACTGATAAATTCACTGTATTACTTTGCACAAATCAATATCCCAGCACTTACCAGGGGTTGATGTGACCGAAATTGGTTTCAGCCAATTCGAGAGGGTAATAAATGGCCATTTATCAAATCAATTCATTCTGCGGCACTTCTCTGGCTGCCCATCCTCATGGTACCCCTGGGTGCCAGGGTCCACCCAGCTAGTCCCTAGCACACATCTGACACTAGCCTAGAGGACCCAGTGAGGCCTGGCCTAGCCTCTACATCTGCCTCCCACTCTTGTACCTCCTTCAGTCTTGAGGTTCTGAGGCACTGGCTGCTGCCTGCCTACCACAAACCCTGACCCAGAGAGTGCCCTCAGCCTCCACCTGGGTGGGTAGCTGGGCATTATCTGGCCATTATCAGTGTGATCCCCAGCCTCAGGGCTTCTAGCAAGGTGGGCACATAGTTACTGCCTTACAAATGGAGGTGATGGCTTACCAGCCCCAGAGCCCAGGATCCAATTGCCTCTGGCCCTTCCGGAGTCAGTAGGACCATGACAGGGTCAACTTACATACCACAGGACAAGGAGCAGGGCCTTCCTGATCTGAGGCAGATTTTAGGTGACAGAATGGAGCTTTGGATAGAAGAAAGCACTGAGGGCAGACATTCTGATAGCCCTTGGGAGGTGGTAAGCTGAATCATCTACTCTTGCTTGGGTCCACTCAAGGGGAGGCAGATGGGTGGGCAGCAGAGGTCTGTAGGACTAGGGAAAGACACCAGCCTGGGGCTAGGACTAAGGGTCAGTCCCAGCTTCAAGGAAACAGCTGTGGGCCTGACCTACAGAGCACAGTGCCCATCCCTAGATGGTCAACATCTTAAGGACAGGGACTAGGTTTTTATTCAGTGCTGCCTGGCACATTGGAAAGAGCTTTAGAATCAGGCTGTCTGGATCTGCTCCCCAGTACACAGGCGAGGAAACTGATGCTCAGAGAAGCAAAGTGACTGGCCTGAGCGACACAGCTGGTAACTGCTGACCTTGCTATTCAAGCCCAGGTTGGTTGAAGTCTTCCCCCCCCCCCCCTCTCTCTCTCTCTTAAAAAAATATTTTTATTGATTTCAGAGAGGAAGGGAGAGGGAGAGATAGAAACATCAATGAGGAGAGAGAATCACTGGTTGGCTGCCTCCTGCCCGCCCCCTGCTGGGGATCTATCCTGCAACCCGGGCATGTGCCCTGACTGGGAATTGAACTTTGATCTCCTGGGTCGTAGGCTGACACTTACCCACTGAGCCACACCGGTAGTGCGAAGTCTTCCTATCTCAATGTTCTTCTCCTCCCCCCACAACTCTTACTTCTGGGAGCTTCCTATCTTATAGGCTTGAGAAGCAAGAGGTCAGAGGAGCAGGCAGCATGCTGGTAAAGGGCCGTGTCAGAAGCAGAGGGAAAATACTATGATGGCAGCGGCAGTTCTGGCCCAAATGCACAGGAGACTCCAGCAGGAGATGCTCTCTTAGATCTCTGCCCAGGTAATCTATCTCTCCATGGGCTAATCCTTGTCTCTCCAAGCCCTGAGAGCTCCCAGCATCTCCCGTCTTGCCACTTCAGACACGATGTTGGCAAAGAAGTGGGAGGTTGCCACCTCTAAGGTGGTGGCTGAGGGTGGAGGACAGCTTGGTGAGGTTTGGGCCTGAGCAGTGGGGCCTTGTATATTCAAAAACTCTTTCCCTGGCTCCTGTGCCAGCAGGAAGCCTTCTGACCTCTAGTTGTGAGGCAGCTCTGATCACTGGGACACCTTTTTTTTTAAAGGTAACTTTATTATTATTTTTTTTATTTTAAAATGTTTTTATTGATTTCAGAGAGAAAGGGAGAGGGGGAGAGAGAGAGAGAGAGAAAGATCAATGATGACCACCCTAGCCAGTTTGGCTCAGTGGATAGAGCACTGGCCCACAGACTAAAGGGTCCCAGGTTTGATTCCGCTCAAGGGCACATGCCCAGGTTGTGGGCTCAATCCCCTGTAGGGGGCGGGCAGGAGGCAGCCAATCAATGATTCTCTCTCATCATTGATGCTTCTTTCTCTCCCTCTCCCTTCCTCTCAAAAATCAATAAAAATATTAAAAAAAAAGAAACATCAATGATGAGAGAGAACCATTGATTGGCTGCCTCCTGCAGGCCCCCTACTGGGGATTGAGCTGCAACCTGGGCATATGCCCTGACTAGGAATCAAACCTTGGACCTCTTGGTTCATGTGTTGATGCTTAACCACTGAGCAACACTGGCCAGGCAGTAGACACTTTTATCTGCTGATCAGGTCAGGCCCCTGATGAGGGGCTCATGGCAGCTACATGAGTCCCACTGGTATATGTGAGAATGATGAAGATCAGGCTGGGCTCTGTGTGTCACAGGGACAACCACCTTCACTTTTCAATTATTCCTCTAATTGGTTTCCTAGCACTGAAAATGCCACCCTAGAATATCCCAGAGGAGCACCGCAAGTTCAGCCTGATGTCTTCTTTCTCAGTGAGAAGAACCTGGTACTTTCTTTGGCAGCTGCTGGACTGCATCTGCTGCCACCAAATACTTGGAGAGAAGAGGCAGCAACACATGAGTGGGACTGACCGAAACAGAGCAGGGCAGAGTTTTTAAACTTGAGCTGAGCATCAGAATCACCAGCAGGGACTGTTAAAACATGGGTTGCTGTGCTCCATCCCCAGTTTCTGATTCCATAGGTCTGGGGTGAGGCCTGAGATCTGCATTTCTCACAAGGTCCCAGAGGATGTTGATGATACTGATTTAGAGACCATGCTTTGAGAGCCTGCCTTTGGGGATGTCCCCTTTTCTAAGCTGGGCATGGGTTCCACTGCCCTTGCTGCCTTTGAGATCACCCTCAGGGAGTCATGTGTCTGGGTCAGAAAACAATGGGGAGGCCACCGTCTTTAGCAGACCCTAGTCCTATATTTCTTTCCAGTGGGGCTGGCATGGGCAGGAGGGCTATTAGATTAGGGGTTATACCAGTGGGTAGTCTGGCTCCCAGGGGTCAAAGTATGGGACATAAGACTTCCGAGGTGAAGAAGAAAGCACTCAAGACTTGTTCAGGATGTTTTATCTAAAACTGAGGCAGTGGCAAAAGACAAAAGTTGTGGTTCTGGCTCAGCTGCTACATTACTAGTGATGGACAAGCTCTCATTTCTCTCTAGGTCTGTTTCCTCACCTGAAAAGTGGGGGCATGGGGAACAGTGGACCAGATGAAGGTCAGAGTTAAATTGTAAACACAGGAAAAGCAGCCTTGAGCAATTATTTAAGTGCTCTGTGTCTCAGCTTCCCAATCTGTAAAATGGGGACTTAATGGTACCAACCTCACAGGAAGGGAGGATTAAATGACAGAACACAGGCAAAGAGCTTATTACAATGCCTGGCACATAGAAAGTATGTAAAAAAGTGTTAAGTTATAATATGCAATATGGTTATGGTGACATCAGGATGTACACTTCATTGCTAGCATCTTCCATACTCACCTGCACCCACTGTGGCAATGGCACTCTCCTGGCCAATGATGTGCTCCTTCAGCCGCTGCTCCAGTGGAAATCGGCGCCGCTCCTCAGCTTCACGCTTCCGCTGCTTCTCCTGGTACTGTGGGGAGAGAGCAAGGTGCTCAGGAGTCCGGGCCCAGCAGCACCCTAGTTTTATTCTATCCCTGACCTAGGGGATAAAACACAGGCCTGGCTCCCCAGGGGTCAGGATTCACAGCTCTGGCTCATGACCCCTGGAGGCCCAGTCCTCCCTCAGTCCTCTCATTCTACCCCTCATCCCATCTCCTTACCTCAGGTGGCCACTGCCCAGAGTGCTGGCTAACTCTGTTAGTAAAATAAGTACTACTACTAAATTAACCCTGGACTCTGAAGTCTGACAAAAGACCTGGGTTTGAATGCCAGATTTATCACTGACAAAATATGCTTATCACCTGGAGCAAGTTACTTCACCTCAGTTTAATGAGGGTTTAAACATGATGATATATATAATGTGCCTAGCATCATGGCCGGCATGTAGTAAGTGCTCAGCAAATATTCTTTCCACTTATTCTCTTGAAAACCTTTTTGGTTTTCAAACCAGAGCTATGAACACCCTCCACTTCAATGATACTACATTTCAATTAAACACAATTATTCAGCAATTGCTATGTGCTGAGCCCCATGATGGAAAGGTGGGGTGGGGAGAAGGAAGAGAACTGTGCTCTGCCCCCTGGGAGGTTCTAGTGATGCTGAATATTTGGCGTGTGCTGGCCCTGGGCGTGGTCCATTTCAGTAAAGGCAGAAGCTCCTGAGCTTGGTCACACTGCGAGAAGAGGAGAGCAAGGCCTTCTCCTCAAGGAGCTCAAAGTTGGGCCGGGGAGGTGAGGCAGGGTCTGTGCACAAATATTGCTCAGGCAGAACCATCCAATTTCCTCACAGTTCTAAAGCATGCATGCCCATTCTTAGCCCTGTGCCTATCACTACCACCTCCTCCACCACCACCCCCCCCAAAAACAAAAAAAACTCCAACTACTTGAAAACAAGTTTGTTGTACGAGCCTGTATTCTAAAATCAGTGATGAGCTCCCTGAGGGCAGGCACTATTTTTCACTCACTATTTCTAGCACAAGTCCTGGCACAGTAGAGGCACCTAGTGAATGACTGCAAAAATGAATTTGATGACAATATAAAGAGGAACTAACAGCTAGACTGGGTGGTGTAGGAGTACAGAAAAAGAAGTGAAGGATACACAAAGTGTGGAACATTTTTTTGGGTGGGGGCTTCCTGGGAGACGGGAAGCTTGCAGAAGCTGGAGTAATGGGCTAGGTGGAAGTTGTGGGACTCTCTGGAGACCAGCGGGGAAGGGTGAGTGCATGGGTACCATGAGAAAGCACTTATGGAGGCTGGGGGACAGGGGAAGAAAGCAGGTCTTAGAGAATTCAGGAGGCTCTCTTTCCCTCAGACCTCTAAACACGGACAGATTTCTAGAACACATGCTGCCAAGGTAAGGCCCTGTCACAAAAGTTGTGGTTGCAGATTGCTCTTGCGGGCAGAGTGGATGAAAAATACCTGCTGCTTGGGCAGTGTTTTCCTGTTACGGTAGTGACCTTGACAGAAGTTAAAAAAAATAAATAGCAAACAATCCAATTTTGGTTGTTGCTATCAGTCTGTAACTGAAAGCTCCCATCAGTCCTGGGGTTTCATGTGGAGCAATAATTCGGCGCCGATCCCAGTGGAGCGACGCTTGCCGGTTGGAATCCAGAGTGTCACTGTGCAGCTCCCTCAGGCGCCACATACATCACCTGGCTCTGACGACTCCAGTCATATATCTGCCTCCTCCTCCTCCCTGCCCACCCAGTCCCTCTCAGCACGCGGTCCACTAGGCTAGAAGGCTCTGATGGTGAGAAATACACAGGCCGGCTGGTACAGCTCCAGCTAGTGCACTGGCCGGCTTACAGTCAGTCAGGCAGACCATGGAAGGAGCTCGAAGCGATGGAAACTGGCCTCCACTGGTTTGTTGGGTCTGTTTCCTCACTTCTCCTCAGTGATGGGTATCCCCACCTCTAGGCCTTTTGCTCATTCTGCTCCCTCACCACAGAAGTCTCTCCACTCACACCCACCTCCAAGTGCCTTGGTGATCTCAGCTTCAATACTGTATTGTCTAAGAACCCTCTTGTAAGGCTTCCTGCCTGCCGCAGGCCCTGTGGAGCACTTATTTGACTGCCTGTTTCTCTCTTTTCTAATCCATAAAGTTCTTAGTGACAAAGACTAAGTTGTATTCTTCTCTATAGCTCCAGCACTTAGCACAGGGCCGGGCTCACAGAAAGAGTCAATACATGTTGCCAACTGAATGAGATAACAACCATTTGTGGACTAGCTTCTGTACGCCAGGCACTGTACTCAGCGTTTTATACACAGCATCATATTTTTGTTTCCTCTATTTTATTCTTTAAAAAATTTATCTTTATTGTTGAAAGTATTACAGATATGCCTTTTCCCCCCATTGATCCCTACCACCCCACATCCGCCCCTCCCAGGCCTTCACCACACTATTGTCTGTGTCCATGGGGTATGCATACATACACATATAAGTTCCTCAGTTAATCTCTCCCTCCCCATCCTCACACTCACCTTCCCTCTGAGATTTGTCAGCCTGTTCCATGCTTCTATGTCTCTGGATCAATTTTGTTTATCAGTTTATTTTGTTCATTAGATTCCATATGAGTGAGATCATGTGATACTTATCTTTCTCTGACTGGTTTATTTTGTTTAGTATAATACTCTTCAGGTCCCTCTATGCTGTCTCAAAGGGTAAGAGATCCTTCTTTTTTACAGCTGCATAGTATTCCCTGGTGTAAATAGCACAGCTTTTTTTAATCCACTCATCTACTGATGGGCACTTGGGCTGAGATTTACAATCTTAGCTATTGTAAATTGTGCTGCTATGAACATAGGGGTGCATATATTCATTCTTCTTTTTTAAAAAAAGTATTTTTTTAATTGATTTCAGAGAGGAAGGGAGAGGGAGAAAGAGATAGAAACATCAATGATGAGAGAGAATCATTGATCAATTGACTCCTGCACACTCCCTACTGGGGATTGAGCATGCAACCCAGGCATGTGCCCTGACCGGAATCGAACCTGGGACCCTTCAGTCTGCAGGTCAACACTCTATCTACTGAGCCAAACTAGCCAGGGCTCTTCTTCTTTTTTTGTTAATCCTCGCCTGAGGATAGTTTTCCATTGATTTTAGAGAGTGGAAGGGGGAGGGAGGAAGGGAGGGAGAGAGAGAGAAAGAGAAACATCAGTGTGAGAGAGACACATTGGTTGGTTGCCTCCTACATGCACCCTTGCCCCCTACTGGGGATCGAGACTGCAACTGAGGTAAGTGCCCTTGACAGGAATTGAACCTGGGACCTTTCAGCGGGCCGATGCTCTATCCACTGAGCCAAATTGGCTAGGGCCATATATTCTTTCTGATTGGTCATAGCATCATATTTAATCCTTACAGTTGTCCCCATCTGAAGTTTGGCTCCTCTTTTGGCTCACAGTGGCGCAAGGCATGTGGAGCAAAGTTTCTGACAGACCTGAATTCAAACCTCACCTCACCTACCTACTAGCTAGCCGACCCTGGGGCAGTTAATTTACCTCCTTGAATTTTATTTTCCTCATTTCTAACATGGGGCTGGTACTCATACCTAACTTGCAGGATCCTTGGGGATGTTGGTGGAGATTAAATGAGATAGTGTATACAAAGCACCTGGCAGAGTCTCTGGCACACAGTGAATGTGTATGTGGAAGTGGTATGTAAGAGACTCAAGGGGAGGAGAGCACAGTAGCTGGCCCTTGGAAGGCCTTTGATAAATGCTACTTCTCCTTCACTGCATTTTGATAACTAATTATGTAACCCAGTGCCATTTATTTATTTATTTGAACTCTTTATTTACCAAAACTCTTTAAAATAATGTAATCTGTGTGGAGCTCCATACATAAAGAGAAGAGTTGCTCTGGCTCAAGTAGAAGCCAGGAGCTAAGTCCACTTGGATGCCCCCACTGCCCTGGAAGTGGCCCCTGACTCCTTCCCCTAGGAACCCAGCAGGGCACAGTCCCAACACCAACAGGGGTCCGAGGACACCTACTATGGCTCATCTCTGCCTATCAGTTTTTGTTACGTGGTACAGAATTCCTCCATTGATCTGTGGGGCCTCATAGAACATATCTTTTTCCTTTGCTGCATGCCAAGCCTAACATGACTTTGTCACCACTTTGTTGATTTGGGTACAATGTTCATGGCCTCCTTGTCTTCTCCAGGGAAACATTTCTACTTCCTGTAACTCTTCTTCAGAGTCATGATTTTAGGCTATCTTAGAATTCCTGTTATTTTCTTGGGCAAGGAGAAAGGGTCCTTAACTTCTATGGGGGTCAGGGTAGGGAAAAGTTACACTGTGATTTGGGTGGTTTCTCAGGAGCTTTCCAGATAGTCCTGGGAAAGAGTTAACCTACAGCCTAAATCTAAGCATGTCCCGATTCTCCACCAGCCTGGTGGAGATATATGAACTCCTAAATATCTATTCAGAAAAACTTTTGAAAATGCAGAATTTTGGATAAAAATGTACAGGATACTGAGATTAAACCAGATAGGTTACAGATTCATTCTCTTTTCCTAATGCTTAGCACAGGCTTTGTATAAAAAAAATGTACTGAATGAATGACTTTTTAACTATATGAGCCCAGGCTTGTGAAAAGCTAGCCAGTGGAAGAACCTAGAAAAGGAAAATACTTGGTCTGCATATACTCTTCTTGGGAAAGAGGAGAGAGAATGGGAGAAGGCACTTGGGAAGGGTTCCATAAATAGGGACTACTATTGTTCTTGGCTTTTTGAGGAAACGGGGAGGAAGGCTACAGGGACTAAGGTCAAGGCCGTGCTTTGACAGGGCTCCACAAGAGAAGATAAGTAGGTGACCCAGCCTACAGAAGCAGAGGGTACTGGGCTGAGAGGCACTAGGAAGAAGCCACCCAGGAGCGCAGGAGTGGGGGAGTGATCATCTTCTTAATAAAAGCCATATGCAATTAGCTTCAGAAGCCCTCACCTGGAGCCAGCAGCAACCAGCTCCCTATGCTG